TGTAATCTTTGATTATGGCAAAGATTCCAATCTAATTCTAACCAAAATTAACACATTAATACAATTACTTTTAAACCCCCTATTTAAAATATGCCCTTATTTACATTATATTCCCCATTCAATCTCATCCATCCATTACAAATTTATAAATGGATGGAATCTCATCTCACCATCTCATTTAATAAAGGGGTCTCATGGGATCTGCACCCATATATATATATATATATATATATATATATATATATATATATATATATAGGAAAATTATTTTGAAGCCGGAAGATATATACTTAGGAGACTCTAGCTTTAAAAACCGAGAATAGACTCAACAAGTAGGGACAAACACATTCAACAGTTATAATCAAGCATATAAAGATACTAGCATGTATACTAAGGTCACAAGATTATTTCACGTCATTCATATCATTATTCAATCATTATCTCAATCACATAAACACACTTTGGTGGTGCCGCATGACCCTTCACGCGCCCATACACGAAGCTCCAGCGCATATAGCTCTGACATAGCCCCGAAACACCCTGCCTGTACCGCAGCACAAGGGGTCGATCGCAACCGACCGATGAACCGTAACTCATCATAACGTTTGATCGCAACCAAACAGTTAACTGCAGCCCAAAAGTGTATTTCTGATCGCAACCAGATTATGAACCGCAGCTCATGTAAAACGTTTGATCGCAACCAAACGGTGGACCGCAACCCTATATAATATTTATATACCTGACCGATCGCAACCGGCCTGGTTAACAGTCGGTATGGTTCTCAACCCATCCAACTGCCCGTATAGCCAATTTGATCGCAACCAAATTGGGGTATCATGCACACATAACACATAGCAAGCAGATGCAACCCACAGTAGCACATTGGGAAAGGGGAGAAACGTATAAATAAACTTATGCGTGGTCATCCACATACTAGGAATATTCATAAAGGGTTCATACATCTGTCACCTAAGCCAACGAGATACCAATTCAACTAGCATGCAATACACAAGACTTTTTTATCATACGAATGGTACCTGAAACATCAAACTAGACTCAGGCACGATAAACGGAGTCCGTTGGGACACCACGAGGGTCGGGGAAACATCAAACGGGGGAAACCACCATCCCACATTGGGAGAAACCAGCAGGTGGCCGGCGGCGAGACTACTGGCAGCCGATGCTTGGCGGGCAGTCGCCTGCTCGCCGGCTGCCCGCTGCCGGCAACGCCCTTAGGGGCAGCGGGTAGGTGGCAAGTTCCCCTACCCCCACCTACCCCCCACTGACTCTTTTTCAATACTTGGGTCCGGGATCTTTTGTGGAACCCGAAACCATGTTTAGACACTTTTAAACGCAAACGACAACACCACGTTGTCAAATAACGGATTAAAATCAAGAATCACACTGAACATATCCTAACATGACTTCTAAACATAATTAACACCCGAACATGCGAATTCCCACCCAAATATACCAAGAATATCACAATACGAAATTCACGATTCAACCTAGGGCTCTAATCATATTTAAATCACAAAATCATACTTTATCTTTAAAATCAAGAACATCAAGATTTATCAAGAATCAACACACAATTATCAAGATCCTCTTATAATCATCAAGATTATCAAGATCAACACATAAGATCATCTCATCAACATCAAGAGCATATCATAATCATCATAAAAGATTTATTAAGACATGAGTATAGAATAAGGAGCCAAAGAAGAAGATTATAGCAAGGAAAATAGGTTTTGTTGAGACATGGGTTACCTCTTAGCCTTAATTAGAATCCTTGGCTATAAAGGGTCTTTCTCTTAAGATCTCCTCTTCTTGATTTCTCCTATGGGAATTCTTGTGTGGTGAAAGCTATTGTGGTGTGAGTCCTAGGTGCCTCCTATGTCCTTATATATATCTAAGAGTCCTAATTAGGGTCTGAATGATATGGATTTACTAATTCTATTCCCTATAGGACTAAGAGTTTGGTTTAGGGGTAAGGGTCCATGGCTTATGGTGGACCCTCATTAATTAATTAAGAGAATTTAATCCCCTTTTAAGGGTAAGTAATTAAATAATTAATTTGGGTTAGAGGCCGTAACACGGGGTGTTACAAGTATCTGCGAGTCTTAGGGTTTACTTAGGGAGGGAGTGAGATGGAGGATTGGGAATGGGGAGGGAGTGAGGGTTTGGGGGGATCCGTGGCTTCCGAATGATACCCAGCCTTATATTTATACTTTGGAACCAACTTACCTAAATAACCCTCTTGTAAAGTCTCTTTTTTGTCCAGATTCAAATTGATGGGATCATGATTTGGTGAGAGATATTTTTCCTGATCGAGATTGTAATCTTATTTTGAGCATACCTACTCATTTGTGTGTGTTCCGGATCCTATGTTTTGGAGTCGGGAGGAAAGGGGGGTGTATACAGTTAAAAGTGGATATAGGGTGGTGAGGGGGATTGAAGAGGGCGGGGTGGGGCTTACATGGAGGGGTTTGTGGAACTTGTGTTTGCACAAAAAATTAAGTGTCCTTTTCTAGAATCTTTGTACCCTTCGTCTGCCTACTAAGGATGTTTTGTTGGTTAAACATGTTAATTGTGATTCCGTTTGTCCCTTGTGTGGAATGGCAAATGGAATTGTTATTCACCTGTTTGAAAATTGTGTTTTTGCTCACCAGTGTTGGAAAGTGCAAAATGATAGTTGGGGTTGAACTATGTTGAGTTTGTTAGGCAGTGGATGGAGGAGATGTAGTCAATTCTGTCTGTTGGGAGCTTGAGAAAGTGGTTGTGATATGTTGGGCCTTGTGGGAGAATAGAAATTCTATGGTTTGGAAGCATCAATGTACGAACCCAAGGACCTTAGTGCAACAAGCTTTACACTTTGCTCATAATTGGAAGATGGTCCATAGTCGAGACATATCCCAAGTTGTCCCTGTTGCGCAGATTCACCATGCTGCTGGTTCGGGCAGTTTGTTACGAGGCCATCTGAAGATAATCATAGAAGTGGCGATGGACTTTGCTAGTAGAAAATGGGTTATGGATTGAGTGTTTGTGACGAGGAAGGGGTGGTGCTGGGGGCGGTTATGTCTGTGTTGAATGAGTTGTATACGGTGATTACGGTCCGTGAAGCAGAGGCTATGGGCGCAAGAGAGGTTTTGAGCTGGTTGAAAGACAAAGGCTGTCAGAATGCGGTAGTTGAAACCGACGCCCAGGTTGTTACTTGTGTTGTTCATACAGGGATAAATATTACACCATTTGGTTGCATTATTGATGAGATCCGCCAACAACTACGATGTATGCCTATGATTTCTTTTCGTTTTGTGCCTCGTAGTAGAAATATGTTGGCCCATATTTTAGCTATAGCTAAGCATGTTTCGAGTGATGTCGAGGAAGGTAAGATTAAGTACTTAGATTGTATTCCTCTTTTTCTTTTTGCTTTCGTTTGTAACAACTCTATTCGGTTTAATTAAATTGATGTTTTTGTTGTTGTTTTTTTTTTTTTAACCCTAATTTTAAAATTTTCCTTTTTGTGATTTACTATTTGAAATTTCATATGATATGTCCTATACGTTTAATTTTGTTCTAGACTAAAATTTTCAGTGTTCAGATGATTGACTGATTTTAAATAATAAATTTTTAATTTTAATTTGGTGGAAGCCCTAATTTGTACACTATATATGACTATATGAGCCCAAATTTTGGGAATGTCCAAAAGTTATAATATGATGAATTTATTAGATTACTTCATTGTTTGGTTATGGATTTATGGATTTATGTTTATGAATAAAGTATCCTTAAAATTGAAAAATTTATGATTTTGTGATTTGTATTTATTGATTGTTGGCCATTTGAAACGTTGGCACAAATATGATGAAAATTAATTTTGAATTTGTGATTTTTTAGACTTAAAATTCAAGAATATATTTTGTGAAAGCTTTTGAGTATGCTGGATTGTTGGTTAATATGGTCATTTGAAATATGGTCACTAATATGATGAAAATTAATTCTGAATTTGTGATTTGGGAGCTTTAATATATTCTGTGAGTACGATGGATTGTTGGTTAATATGGCTATTGAATGTTGTCACAAATATGAGGAAAATTAAATATGAATTTGTGATTTGTGAGCCTTAAAATTCTAGAATATATTATGTGAAAGTTCTTGAGTATGTTGGATTGTTGGTTAATATGGTCATTTGAAATGTTGTAACAAATATGATGAAAACTAATTTTGAATTTGTGATTTATGAGCCTTAATATATTTTGTGAGTATATTGGATTGTTGGTTAATGTAACCATTTGAATACTGTCACTAAGGCAAATTTCTCCATCTCCTCGACAACTTGTTCATTCAAAGGCATAAAGATATGCATTCAAAATAGAAATTAAATACTGAAACAAAAGTGATGCACTTAAAGAAGGACAAATATGTATTCGAGTACAAAAGAGAAACTGACTTATTTGTTCAAAATTATAAGAATGTCACCGCGTATTTTTTCTTTTAGTTATCTTCAATCTGGATGGTTGATTTGGAATACATCTATGATTAAAACTTAACCCTATTTTTTTTTACCTAAAGACCTCTTGCACATTTGATCCGCATCTTTTATATATATATGGGGTCATGCCGTCATGGCCTCATAGGTGTTTCTCGTATTCGCGGAAATTCATTTAGGCCCTGTTTGGTAAAATGGCTGTTAGCTGATAGCTGTTTGCTATTAGCTGATTGTGTTAATTAGATGGTATAAATAGTTGATAACATTAGCTGATTGTATAAAAGTATTTGGTAAATTAGCTGTTAGCTGTTTGGTATAATTTCTTTTCTAAAAAGCTAATTGAAAAAGTTGCTAGGAGTAACTTTTTTAATTTTAGCCTTTTGGAGTTGCAAAACGCTAATTAACCAAACATTTATATTAATATTTTAACTAAATCAAATAATTAATAGTGGTCAAATAAGCTAAAATTGGCCTATAAGCCAATATTTTACCAAACAGGGCCTTAGTCCGTATTATATTATATATTAGTTTTGGAAAAGGCAAACACAATAATTCAGTCCAGAGAGTTTACACCACAAACACCGCAGACATCATCTGATGCTGTAAACTACTTTGAATTCTCCCAAAAACGTATAATTTTGTGTTTGTTTCTAGCAATCTGGTAGTTAGCTGTGCAGCCATGGCCACCGCCGCCGCGCCCTCTACTGCGGCGAGAAGCTCGAGCAAGAAAGAATACCCGGGAGGGCTTATACTGGATCGGTACGAGGTGGGGAAGCTCCTGGGACACGGGACGTTCGCGAAGGTGTACCACGCTCGGAACATCAAGACCAACGAGAGCGTGGCGATTAAGGTGATCGACAAGGAGAAGATCCTGAAAGTGGGGTTGACCGCCCACGTGAAGCGCGAGGTGTCGATTCTCCGGCGGGTGCGCCACCCCAACATCGTCCAGCTGTACGAGGTTATGGCGACCAAGTCCAAGATTTTCTTCGTGATGGAGTACGTGAAGGGCGGGGAGCTGTTCAACAAGGTCGCCAAGGGGCGCCTCAAGGAGGAGGACGCCCGGAAGTACTTCCAGCAGCTGATCTCCGCGGTGGCGTTCTGCCACGCCCGCGGCGTCTACCACCGCGATTTGAAGCCGGAGAACATCCTCCTCGACGAGGACGGGAACGTCAAGGTTTCGGATTTCGGGTTGAGCGCCATATCGGAGCAGATTAAGCAGGACGGGCTGTTCCACACGTTTTGCGGCACGCCGGCTTATGTCGCCCCGGAGGTTTTAGCAAGAAAAGGCTACGATGCGGCTAAGGTAGATATATGGTCTTGTGGGGTGATTCTATTTGTGTTAATGGCAGGCTATTTACCCTTTCATGATCAGAATATTATGGCTATGTATAAGAAGATTTACAAAGGGGAATTTAGGTGCCCTAGATGGTTTTCCCCCGCATTAACCCGATTTCTCACTCGATTACTCGATACCAATCCTGATACAAGGATAACCATCTCTGAGGTAATGAATAACAGATGGTTCAAGAAAGGGTTCAAGGATGTGAAGTTTTATATTGAGGATGATAAATTGTGCAATGTTATTGATGATGGAATTGATTATTCCTCTGATTTGTCCGAGTCGGAGTCCGAGATGGAGAGCCGGAGGAGGATAAGCGGTTTGCCTAGGCCTGCTAGCTTGAATGCCTTTGATATCATCTCGTTTTCGCGTGGTTTTGATCTGTCGGGGTTGTTCGAGGAGGGAGGGGACGGGGAGAGGTTCGTTTCAGGGGCGCCCGTGTATAAGATCATAAATAAGTTGGAAGAGATTGCGAAAGTCGTGAGCTTTAAGGTGAGGAAGAAGGATTGCAGGGTTAGTTTGGAGGGGACTAAGGAGGGCGCGAAAGGGCCACTTACAATTGCTGCCGAGATATTCGAACTAACCCCGTCTTTGAGAGTCGTGGAGGTGAAGAAGAAGGCGGGGGATAAAACGGAGTTCGAAGAGTTCTGCAAGAGAGAATTGAAGCCCGGGTTACAGAACCTAACGCTAGAAGATGCTTCACATTTACCTTCGGATACTGAATAGAGGGGGGAAGGAAGAGAAAAGGTTATACTCTTTTCTCCCCCTTTTGCTCTTACTTGATGCTATTGTATATTTCTTTCTTCGTGTCCTTCTTTTCTCGCAGTTGTGTTGATTATGTCGCTGATGTTACTTTGTCTTGTACTCACTACTTCCCGTTTAAGTAGGCTATACGAACAATCAAGAAATGAATACACCTTTTTACCAAAGCTCGCTTCTTTACAAGTTTCTTAGAGTAGTCTCATCCTAATTTATTACTACTTGTACGTTTCTTAGAAAATAGATTGCTTTGATACGGTTCATTGTTCAACTGAATCTCTATGCACATAACACTGTTTGTAAAGAAAAACGTGGTGGTGATATTGCTTGGTGCAACTGGATCAAGCCTGCATGCTTGCAAGTCGGGAAGTTGCGTTTGATAGGTCTAAAAGAGCCGAAATTAACACCTATAGACTTGTAAAGGCTTCCCGGTCAATGCAAATAGCCAAACAGCTTGGTATGGGCATATCAAAAGAGTGAAACTTCATCAACGATGTGATAATTTAGCTTCCCTCGGTGAGTAAATAATTGATAATCAACTTCCGTTTCTCCGTTGTGGCCATTATTGTCTTGAACTTGTGATTTCAGGTACCAAACCTCAAATGCACACTTGTTTGGTCTCTTGGGGAATTGAGAAGAAGTCGGCTATTGGGAGGGAGTACGGTGAGTATCTGCATAGAATAGTCCTTCCTTTTTCCTCTGAGATCATGATGGAGTATGCCTACTGAAAAAGGGAAGATGTGCAGTCTCTTGTTATCTCTTTTTCTTTGAGCCTTTGAGGTGTTCTTTTTTGTCCCAAAAGGTTGAATCCCCAACCCTAAAGGGCCCCCACGCCTCGGCTCGACAGAGCATTTGTGAGAATATAAATCACGGTAACTCAGTGGCTCAACAGACAGGGCCAAATGCTGGTGTACATAAGGGATCTGCTCACTTTGGGCATAATCTCCACACCGGCCACTACCGAGTTTCGAATCTTGGTTTCTTGTCCCAAATACTGCTTACTGAACCAATGAGTTAAGCCCGTGTGGGCGTGTTCTTTGAGTTTGCATGAATTGACTCGTTAGTTAGGGTGCTTTGAGGTAACCCTTCTTTAGAGTGGAATATCTCATCTTAGCCCACCTATGGTTGTCGGTGGGTGATTATTCCAATAAGTACATGTCAGAATTTAGATACCGAAATATGTTTGAATGATTAAACGTTTTTTCTCCGGAAATTATTTGTCTGAACAGAGTCGAAAACGGAGGCACCTAAGTCCAGAGCTTGGCAGTCGAAGCTGTCTCATCTCGGAATCATAAATAATTGCAGCAGTGGAATTGCAGGTATAATATCTTCTAGTGGCTTGACTTCTCGAGTATTTGGATGGTTGCGAACTTGCCATCCACTTTCACTTTGATATCTACTTTTTTGGTCCAAAATTGTTTCGTCAATTATTACTCTAATGTCCAAACAAATTACGCACAAGTTGGTGTCTGTCTTATGGGACATCCTTTGGACATTATTGGTAGGAGGTTCCATTCTCAGTAGGATTTTTCACGTGTTCTTTTCACTGTCTTGTTTGTTTGCTCTCGTACAATAACCGAACGCACCGTCTTTGTGCTTTTCTACCTTATTATTCTCCAATTATTATAGGAAACAGGTAAATGACAGATTTGGCCATCTGGGTACTACCGAATATTTGAGTATTCTTGATCTTTACTCGGGAAATTAGCAAGACAGAATCACAGAAAGGAGTGTGTCTGCCCTCATTTAGGATGGACAAATTTAAGGTTAGAAAAGGGCATTTGTTTACTTGATGTTTTCTACCTCCAAGTTGCCATTTTAACCACAAAACAACTAAAGTATCTTTATGGCAACAACCTTTTGATGTGGACAGCACAGCACAAACATGTTTGTGGACTAAAATCTCAGCTTTTTCTCATTTGCCCTCTTGAATCTGGAAAGAAAAAATGATTCTGATGCCTTAAACCTACCAGCATTTAAGGCACATCTTCTGGCTATTATAGTTAATGCAAAGAGATTATAATTATGGCGTCGTAGATATTAAGTTAGAACATTATTACTGTATGTTGTCTTATGAGTTAATTCTATTTTTGGTCCTTGATTTATAGGTGACAGTCCACTTTTAGTCCTTTTTTATTAGAACATTATCATTTGGTCATAGGATTATTGTGACATGACTATTTTTAGTCCTTCATCAACAAAATCGTTGAAATGTCGTTAAATACAAAGGCATTTTAATCTGTTTTTATACAAAGTAAGTTGAACTGCTATATTATTTGTTTGAAAAAATTCATAATTTAAAACTGAAATGCCCTTATAGTTAACGATATTTAAACTGTTTTGTTAATAAAGGACAAAAAATAGTCAGTCCACAATAATATTAGGACTAAGAGTGGAATAGTGGATGTTTTGATAAAAAAAAAAAAAAAGGACTTAAATTGGCTATCACCTATAAATTTAGGACAAAAAATGGAATTAACTCTTGTCTTATCGTATCAAACAAAAAAATAAAAAATTTAAATGAAGGATAATTCTTTTCCTGTATCCACATTTTCCCTAAATAGATGCAGACAAGAAACATTGTAGTTGTATAGAACTGATTAAGTATATGTCCTATAGTAACATCAGTGCTAATGTTTTTGTTTCCTTAATTGTCAGTTAAATAGCATCTAGTATCTGGTGTAAAACATCATTAGAAATGTTAGCGAGAGGTGTTTGGTAAATGACTGTTAGCTGATTGGGTTAGTAGGTTTTATTAGTTGATAACATTAGGTGATTGTATAAAAGTGTTTGGTAAATTAGCTGTTAGCTGATTACATACAAAATGATTTTTCTCAAACAGCTAATCAAAAAAACTACTTTGAGCAGCTTTTTGAATTTTAGCATTTTTGAACAATAAGTTGTTACAAAAAGCTAATTAGTCAAATACTTATATTGATTGTTTAATCAATTCAAACAACTAATAGTGGTCAAATATGCTAAAATTGACGGATAGGCTAATTATTTTACCAAATAGGGCCTTTATGCCAGTAGCCTCACCTAAGGATTGAATCATGGTCTACAGTTGCTTATACATTGGTGTTCACAATATGGTGAATTTCATACTTGGACCTTGCATTCCGTGATTGTCAGTGAAGCAGAGCTATTAACTCTTCTTTGGATTAGTTAATTGACCATTTTATACGTAATCCTAGTAGGAATCCCTGCATCTCGTGGCCGCTAGCAATTCGGGGCTAATTATTCTTCTTTGGATTAGTCAACTAATTGAGTTATATCCCAATTCGCAATGTGTACTAAGTTATTATACTAGAGTGGAAGTAAGAAAATGTTGTTTACCTGCAACTTTTTTGGATGGTTGGTGTTCTTGAAGATGGGTAGTTGTGGACAAATTGTGAGTGGTGGAGATTGATACTTCACACCAAGGGCAAAACCTAAAGGCCACAAAATCAGAATCACGTGCCAGAACCAGCACGGTCGACCATCAAGTCATTTCCTTGCAAGTTCAATGCACAATAGAAAAACCAATCTCGTATTTCTCTTGGCACTTTCATTTACTCTTGTCCCTTAAGAAAGGTACTCCCTATTGTATGAAAAAATCAATCTGATCAGCATTTTGTCTTTTAATTGGGTTGGTCCGGTGCGTACGGGGATTAGTCTGAATATGGTACGGGCTTAAATGTGCTTCCTATAGTTAGGGCTTACTTAGGACACCTTATGGTCTGACCAAAAAAAAAAAAAAAAAAAAAAAAAGCAAAGTGAAAATAGTCTATTGGATAGTTGGCTTGGTCTAAGTTTCACTTTTTGTGGGAGTTTTTTATTGACTTTCTTAACTTGAGCCGGCAATATAGGCAGGAGATTCATATTAACAATTTAAAAGACTTTTTTGGATTACCAAGCACTCGTGCAAAGAAAAAAAATCTAACTTGCACGAGGAATTCATATTAACAATTTAAAAGACTTTTTTGGATTACCAAGCACTCGTGCAAAGAAAAAAAATCTAACTCGCACGAGGAACTCAGTTGGTTCATGAGTAGCAGATTGTGTATGCATAGTTAAACCCTAGCAGCCAGAGTGTGAGTCACATTTAATGTGGTGGTTCATTGTGAACACCAAGTACGTACTCTCTCATTTAATGGGCCCCCTCTACAAATCTTGTCGAGTTGGGATGTGGTGTCTCATTCACCTAAATAGTGCGAAACTTTTATGATGTGTTATGTGTAGATGAAAAAAATTATTTTATTTTTATTTTATTTTTAAAAAAATAACTTTTAAATAAAATCAATGGTACGGTTACTAGTTTTCTCATAGCAGTTTAAAGATAACGAGAGTGCATATTTTACGATGTATAAACAGGGTTGTTGCATTAACCAATTTTACACATAAATTTTAGAATTAATTACACTTTCTTTTTTCTTTTTTTTTTTTGGTTTTTTGTTTTTTGTTTTTTTTTTTGAATACTATTAACTATATTACATGTAGTATTTATTCATCACTTTTTGGTTCTTAAAAGAAGTAGGAATTGTCAAATCAGGTATCAATTAAATAGGTGATTTAAGGATAACACTAATTTAAATCTCTCATATGAGAAATTCGTTAGAAACATTGCACATTTTGTAGTCGTCAATGTCAAAAATGAAAATAAGTTAAGTTATAACTTAATAATATTATTATAATTACAAAATAAAAATTTTTAATGTAAATTTTATTAGTATTAAATATAAATGAAATAAATTATAATTATATGTTAAAAATTAAAATCTAATTATATATATAGATGTCAGCTCAAATGTGGTCATGCTTTAATTGTGATCGGTGCAGGCGTATCGTTAGGTATGTAAAAACGCACCAATAATGCTAGAAAAATGTACAACAATGAAATGCACTATTGCATCACAAAACACACCACACTCAAAAAAAATGCACCATACCTCCTCACACCTAAGTGTGCATTTTCGAACACTATGTGATGTATTTATGCATATCTAATGGTACATTTTGTGGTGATGCGTACTTAATTGTGCATTTTTGGTGCATTTTTGTTATTGTGTGTTTTCTAACACTATTGGTGTGTGTGTTTGCATATCTAATGGTGCGATCTCACAGACCGCACGTTAAAGCCTAGCCGTACTAGAACTTGGCCATATGTGTGTGTGTGTGTGTGTGTAGATTTAGGATTATATGAGATCATATTTTTAAATGAGATTGCGAGATCAAATCATAGGCATGAATCTAAAAAATTTTAATGGTCATGATTGATCAAGAGTCCAAGTTGTAATTGATTTAAATTAAATAAAAAAGGTGAAATAGTTTGTTTTCAAAAAAAAAATGGTGAAATAGTAATGTAATGTAGAATGTTTAAATTTTATAAACATATAGTTATAATTTTATGAATGTGCTGTAATTATTTAATGAACATGATCAGAACATACAGTAGGAACTTTTAGAAATAGGTGGAAAATTTGTCTTTTGACTTTTGGATGTAATGCATTCATTAATAGTCGAAATACCATAATTAAAATAAAGGAAAATGGAAATAAGTAGAACTGTAGAAATACCGTAGTTAACAATAACTGCGTCAAAATTCTAAAGCATTTGGAAAATACAAAACTTCCGTTGCCGGGAATCGAACCCGGGTCTTTTGGGTGAGAGACGAATATCCTAACCAACTAGACTACAACGGATTAATGTTCACAAAATCACACTGTAACACTTGAAGTCTTGGTTCATAAAACTGGTGTCAATGCATCGATTATCACTTAAATAAATCATTATCTAATTCTTTTTATAAATTAAAATCAATATATATAAAATATCTTACTAAAAATTCTCGTTGAGATATTTTAGGTCAAAATACATATGAAGTCCTGTAGTATAATGTTTTGTTTAATTTAGTCCCTCTACTTTAAAAAGTTATAAAACTAAGGACAATAGTTAATGATGTTAATATTACGGTTAACTTAGTTTAAATAGCGCTGACATCATTACTGCCACATTATGATATTTATATTTCAACTCATATATTATTTTATAAATATTTAAAATTAATTATTTTGCCACTAATATATTATTACATTAATATGTCCAAAATAAATAATTACAACCATGCTGGCATCAAGTGTCCAAATCTCATTAGGAACATGGTTGTTATTATTTATTTTGGATATACTAATTTAATATACTGGTGGTAAAAATAATTAATTTTAAATATTTATAAAGTAATATATGAGTAGAAACAAAATATCATGATGTGACAATGATATGATGATGTCAACGTCACGTAACCTAAGTTAACGGTAATATTAACACAGTTAACTAGTATCTTTAATTGCGTCACTTTTTAAAGTACATGGACTTAATTCAACAAAATAAAGGTCATCGAACTACATGCAACAATACAACTGGGTCATTCAACTAAAAAAAAAAAAAACTACAATTGAGTCTTTGAAAGGTCCAAAATTATGCAACTAAATCAAACTTAACTTGTTCTTCTGGTTATTGTTAATGTTGCGGTCATCTTATTTAAATAAAATAAAATTTAAAAAAAAAAAAAAACACTTTCGTCTTCGATGGAGATGAAGACCTTCTTGTCGCCAGGCCGGAGGCGAAGAAATGGCCCTTGTCTTTGGCTTAGAGATGAAGATGCTTTCTTCATATATGGCCGGAGACAAAGGTGATTTTTTCTTTTTAAATATAATTTATTAAAAAAATTTAAAATATTATTTTTTAATAGAATGACGACACGTTAGCGGTAACGAAAGGAACATGTCAATTTTGGTTTAATTGCATAACTTTAGAATATTCAGTGACTCGATTATAATTTTTTTGAGTTCAATGTCTCAATTACATTTTCACATGTAGTTCAATGGCCTATTTAAATATTATTCCAACAAAAAATAATTTACTCTCTAGATCCTACAA